CTGGTCTCTCAGCCTCCGTGACGTCACCAAGCCTCCCACCATTCTGTCTCCACGCCCCAAATTTTGGTTAATTAATAGGGAGGTCGGTTGTGTACATCTGAGCTAAGCTTCTCTATGGCTAGCTCCCTCCATTTTACCCTTCCTATTCTAAATTCTTAAAGTTCCAAACCACATCCACCCTCTTCACAAGTAGGGAAATATGACCTAAGGACATTTCTTTGCTGAAACTAGATAACTCATGTCATCTTTAACATACCAGAGTGTTTCAGTTGAAATTGAAAATATGAATTTAGCTCTGTACTAGCTACATACATACAGTACATTGAATAAAAAGAGTTGTTGCAAGTATTGTTTATGCTTCGTACAAATGTAATGGGTGTTTTGTTTTGTATAGACCAGTAATACACACAATTCAGAATGACAAGATGCTGATCAGTTAAATACATTCTACCTCCTCTCGTACGTAAACCTGGGGGTCGCGGGGTGCAATTCAAACTGCCCTTAAGCTTGAATCTATATAATAGGAATATCTTAAAACATCTTTGTACATTTATATCTTTCAAGATGAAAAATGTCGTCTTATGCGCAATCTATCTTTATCTATGGTAAAAATCATACCCCAATCTAAACCCGGCCCAATCTATCCAAACATTACCAAATCAGGATAGGGTTAAAAAGATTCTTACTTTGTATAGGAACGAAAAGAATGAGAAGTATAGTTCCTGAGAGAGAACTAGCTCCAATCCTCTGCCAGAGCAAGACTGTTATTATTAAAAGCTGAAGAGGTCCAGCCCAGAGATAGTGGAAGAATAAAACTGTCGTGTCAAATCTTCAAAATAAGTTGTGTATATTTGATATACATGGCTTCGTGAGATAATTTATTATTAAATTGAATCTTATAACATTTTTAAAAGTTTTATACTGCGCAAATCTCGTTTAAAACACGGATTTGAGTTTTGTGATATTGACTAAAGAATAGTACAGGGTTACCCACAAAAGATGAGACTTTATTGAAACTTGTAGTATGATATGCACATTTTTTTCAAATCCATACACAATATGTTTTTGTTGAAAAATTTGACGTTCCTTGCTGGATGAATTCTAGTCAACTTTTTCATTATATGTTGACCAAATTTGTCAAAATAAAAAAGTGTCCATTCACAGTGTTCGTGAAAAATTAAAGGGGGTATAGGCTGGTCCCGAATTGAATTAGTTTGCAATCGCTTCTTATTGCATTTTGATGGCGTCTATAAGGAGAAAATGAGGACGATTATTTGGCCGCCGCTAGGTGTCTCTATTCTCAACATTTTAGGGATTTCACTTGGGAAAGACAAAAAAGCGGCCAAAAAATTGCCCTCAAAAGATCATTGTATCATTTACTCTCAGACAAATTTCCATTGATTCTAATTTGTCTGAGAGTAAATGACATTCCTTTTTAAAGAGGGGATTCAATGATAAACCCGAGATCAGTTGGATCCGCAAGATTTTGGCTTCCTGGATTCGGATCCGGGGGGTAAAATATCAACCAAAAACTGCAAAAAAAATCTTNTGTGCCTGTGTTTGGCATTGATAGCTCAAGATTGTGCCTGTGTTTGGCATTGATAGCTCAAGATTGTGCCTGTGTTTGGCATTGATAGCTCAAGATTGTGCCTGTGTTTGGCATTGATAGCTCAAGATTGTGCCTGTGTTTGGCATTGATAGCTCAAGATTGTGCCTGTGTTTGGCATTGATAGCTCAAGATTGTGCCTGTGTTTGGCATTGATAGCTCAAGATTGTGCCTGTGTTTGGCATTGATAGCTCAAGATTGTGCCTGTGTTTGGCATTGATAGCTCAAGATTGTGCCTGTGTTTGGCATTGATAATTTACAAAATTGTATCCGTGTTTGACATAGATAGCTCAAGATCATGTCCAGTTTGACATTGATAGTAAAGTGAGATTGAGTTGTAACTGGATTGATACATTACATTAAAGAAAAAAATATCACAGAAAGTTTTGTTAAAAATGCGAATTAATGGACGACCTTTTACTTAGAAGTCTTTTAAAGTTGATTACAAAAGGTTTGAGGCATGAATTATTGGAGGATTTTAAAAAGGTTGATTTAAGAAATATATTGGTGAAATAAAACTGGGGAATATAAAGACGACTTTTGGACTCAATTTTTGATTAAATAGTTCAATGAACATAAAATACCGCAATTGAGCAGTGAACATGCAAATTGTCTAAATTTCGTCTTCAAATTCCGGAGCGTTATGTCAATGAATAAATCTGATAAATTCAAGTTCGTCGGTGCCAGCTAAGCAAAGTAACATGTATGATACCCAACTGCCAAGCCAACCAAGAATAGGAGAGTCTTCATTTACAAAAACCAGCAGATCCAAAAAGAAAAAATGTTTGGACGAAGGCTCTTTAATTGGATTATATAAATTCCTCACGCTGAAAGATCCCGATTTTGTAAAAACTATTACCTTGTTAAATAAATATTATGACGTTTTAATAATTCATTTAAATCAAGTAGAGAGAGAATTCAATTTTGAATGAAAAAGTAATGAGATAATTGATTACTGTTGAAAAGTACAAGGTTACTTACATAAAAGATATGTAATTTGAATTACCAACCTATTAAAGGTCCTATCAAAATGGTACCATTTAAACATTTGTCTGACTAACAATGAGGAAGATATCGTTGTTATTTCAACTTAAAAAGTGATGAATTCTGTAAATTATGTTCATTGTCTTTCCACTAGTAACTTTTCTGGACTATAGACAAATTACATATATCAAGATAGAAAACAACTACTTCAAGACTACTATTTTCAAGTAATATTCATGACAGACAGGGTTCATGACAGAAGAAAAATAAAACTTAATTTTTAAAGATGTTTTTTTCTGTGTTTTTTTTGGGGGGGGTGAGATCTTATCATTTGTTTGTTAGTTTAATCATTAAACATGAATGTAACTTTTGTAGACCCAGAATGGTTTAAAGAATTGAAAAATATTATCCTAGGATCCTACTATAGAGAGCGGAAAATATCCTTTGTTACTTGGGGTGATTATCTCAATAAACATTTTAATTATCAGCAGAAAGTTAAATTACCGTCTTAATCAATATGAACTTAGTGCATAAATAAAATAACAATAAATAATTATTACTTTCTAGCCTCCTCTGCCATCTTTGTAAAGGACTGTTCCCATGTAAACATCTTTATAGCCTTCACTCCGTTAACAATCTCGTTCATTAATCTGGGAATTAGACAAAGAGAATAGAATATATATTAGAGGGGAATTTACTAGAAAAAAGTGTAAAACGGCCATTTTGTTGTAATATTAATGTACTCTACTGCATATAATTTGTGAACATTTACATGATTTGTACACTTTGAACTCCCTTTCAGGCTGAAAGGGACTGAAAAAGTTCACACCGAGAGATTCTTTAAATTTCCCGCTAATATATATTCTATTCTCTATGGAATTAGAGCTACATATAGAATCACGGAATTAAATGTAAATAGATTAATTCCATGAAAATGTATGAAACTTTTTAATTAAGCTAAGGAATTGAGTTTTTGCCACAAACTCTGATTTTCTAATTTCAATATCGTTGCAACCCAATGTCGTAGACCTTTAATATTTCAAACTATGAATGCCCTTAGATCAAATAATGTAAGTTTGAAATATTAAAAGTTTACATTATAAGGTTGCAAAGATATAGGTTTTACAAAAACTGAATTTGTAGCAAAGACTCAATTCCTTTATCACTATTAATATCAATTCAACAAATTTCGAAATCTGAAGTTGGGCCCAACGATTCTTACTATTATTATACTCTTAAGATTTTCATTTACTGCACTGGGTTGATTATTAGATTTTGCTAAAATATGTTTAAAGGTAATCTTTGAAATATTATTGAATTTTTTTGGATTTTCTTTAGAATACACAGACGAATAAATCTCCTTTATCGTCATCTTTCAGACTGAATTGCAAGCAATAACAAGTTAAACGGCGAGACTTTGAGAGTTCTATTGGTTGTAATCTGCATTTAAACATTGTAGTTTGTACATTTCTAGTGTTAACACTTTATAAGCAGTAGCATAGCAGATATCAAACTCTCTGAAACAAATATACAAACCCCTTGCAAAATTGATTTGAGAAATTTTCTATTTAGCCAAAACTTTCTTAGTTTTTGTCTTTGAATGCATTCTTGGTCATATCAAGTGTCTGCATTGATTTTGTACCGTTTTCCGAGAAACTTTTTGACAAGATGAGCCTCCATCAAAGTGTCCTCTTTCTACGGTTCATATTACTGAAATTCCACTGCTGTGAGAAAAAAGCCATTTCTAAGAATTCAACCAGAATGAATTAAGGAAAAATTAAAAAAATTACAAGATTGAGAACAATGTAAGTACTTCTGAAATGTTTTAGCAAAACCTAATGATAACCCCTCGCATTTACAATAACTTTATCTATCTGCCTGACCTGATTCTTTTGTCTGTTCGAGCTGCAGTCATAACTCTAAGCTGTGCAAATTTCTTTCCTACCCAAGCTAAAAAGTTCAATGTAAACAATAAATATACTAACTTATACTTTAATTGTAACAGTCTTTGCGAAAAATTAAAGGGAATATATAGATTTAGATTTAAAATTACATCTTTCAGTGTATAAAATGTAACCAGAGCTGGGAACTTTAGAATTGAATACTTTTAATCCATATCACTTAATCTGAATATCCAATGTTGGCACTTTTAATTTCTTACTTACTTAATTACTTTTTGGGATACCCCTACTGTATTAAAACAAACCTCATTAAGTTCAAATGAATTTATTTTGAAATAATATTTTATGGCATCGTGATTTTTGAGATCTGAGGCCATGAGCGCCAAACACCCTATACCCTGTCCTAGCGGCAGCACTCGGCCCATAAATGGTCGTAATCTAACCGCAACTAATTTAGATTTCGCCATATCAATTTAATGTGTAAAATGCTTGAAAATTAAATTGACGGTAATTTTAAAGAATTGAAATATGAGTTTAATTAAAACTAGAACAGCCAATCAGAGAAGCCAGGAAATTTGAAATTTAGCCGCGGCATTTAATGAGTGAACTCTTACTGGTCGGAAACTGACAGATAGAAAGAAAGAAAAATAAATTAAAAGTGTTCACATTGGATATATTCATATTAAGCGATCTCAAAAATTCTTAATTTTTCAGAACTTTTGTATTATAAGTCTAGGGATCAAACATTGATCTCCATTATGCAGATATATGGATTTATAATTCCTCTTCGATATTCCGTGATGTGCATACCCTTCTGCAGGGGTGGATACAGGATTTAAGTGTGGGTGGGGCTAGATTTATTTCGGAACAACAAAATCCAGATTTATGAACAAAAAGAGGTGGCGCAGGTGAAAATTTTTGATATTTTTCCTGTTTTGCACTAGGTTTTCTTTCCCTTAAGTGCTATTCTATTAAGAAGCTATTCTGAAATCTTAGGGTTACGCCACCTCCTGAGTTCGTCAGGGGGGTGCGAAGGTCCTGCCGCCCCCCCCCCCTATATCCGCCCCTGCCCTTCTGGGATAACTTTAATTGAGAGGTCAAGCATTGAGCCGAACATTTTAAAATGCCCTCATTAGATATTGAGATTAATTGTTTAAGATTAACAATTAAAGTTTCGAGCTCAGAAGTCAGAACTTTAGTGATGTGAATACCGGGATCAAGCATTGATCTCCATCTTATTCAGATTTATGGATTAAATGAATTCCATGTTCAATATCCAGTATTGGGCATACCCTTCAGGGATAACTTAAATTAAGTAATCAAGCATTGATCTCAAATCAAAAGTAAAAAGTGCCAAGCATTCAAGATCAATATAATCAATTAACAATTAACTCATTCTTCATACAAGTGTGCTTTACTATCTATCATAGAAATTTTGCGAACTAGGCTATATAAAATATTTTTAAGATTGTCTAAATTGAAAACCTCTTAAAAACGTCAAAATTTTTGAAAACCTGATAATCTTTTACATTGGACATTTTTTCAAAACTTTATAGCATATTTCTGAAAGAAACTGGAAACTATGGAAATAGCCTCGCATTTTAATTGAACCATCTCATGCAGATGAGACTTTGGTGAAACCCCTCAACAAATTACATATGACAATCTGAAGGTTAAATTTGATCTTTTGCCTTGAAATATAAAGTAAGGGACCCTTGAAACCTTAATCCGATCAATCCTTAATCCGATCAATCCTTAATCCGATCAATCCTTAATCCGATCAATCCTTAATCCGATCAAGGATTTGTAATTGTAAGATAACGTTGTTTTTCTAGCGTAAAAAGTTATTTTTAAAATTTCTCCATTGTTTCTAAAGCAAGAAATGCGCAAGTCACACAATCCTATTGCATGTTTTCTCATGACTTGTATATGATTTAGAACGCTTTCCTAGTTTTAACGTATTCAATGACCTTTTTAAATGATGGGTTGTACAATTTTCAGCTTTACAGTCTGCATTAGCCAAGGCAGTAGGGATCTATATTTTTGTTTATCTATGGACAGTGGCGTAAATAAGGGGGGTTATTGGGGTTATTTACCCCCCCCCCCCTAGAATCCTGGGGGTAATTTACCACCCCTAGAATCTTGGAGGTAATTACCACTGAACTATTCAGGCCCTGAACAGCGAGTTGTTACTTTGTTTTTGTTTTTAAAAAAAAGTTGATTTTAAAATTGAATATCTTTTAAAGAAATTGAGTCTTTGGAACATAATCAAATATTTAAACCACAATATCTTTAGTATTAGCTATTGTAAACCTTTGATATTTCAAACTGATTATTTGATCTAACAGAATTCATAGCTTGAAATGGTATGCAACATTTGGTTTAAAAGATATAGTGATTAGAAAATCAGAGTTTGTGGCAAAGACTCAATTCTTTTGCGAGAAAATAATTTAAATGTGCAGATACATCAGATATTTCAGATTTTAAGTCAACATATTCTAAATGATTCTAAATTTTAATGTCATTTCAATTAGATGTTTTTTAATAAAAAAGGGTATGGGCAATGAAGAATACATTTTTACTTATTTACTTCTATATTAGATTTATTTAAGATCTAAACATACTACATTGACGACAAGAAAATTTTAGAAATTAGAAACAAAGACAATATTTTTTCAAAGTTTTGCAGAATTTTTAAGATTTTAAAAAGTAACATCCTCTTCCTCTTTGGGTAAAACTATTATTTTTTATCTTACTTAAAATAAATTCAGTTTTTTTTCCAGATCTTTGTAGTTAATGTAAAATGAATGACTATAATGAAGGATATAAAATTCAAGGTGAAAGCTGAAAGGTATGAAATGATGAAATGAGTGGAAAATGCAAATCGAACCCAACTAAAACCAATATTTTGATATACATCATGATATTTTTCTAGGGGGGGGGGGGAATTCTAG